TCACCGCATGTATAGCCACTTCAAGAGGCTGTGTCTTGGTTTGCTATTGAGCAGGTTTCAGCAGAGCTTCCTGATTAATATGGATTAGGAAGAAAGTCTGGGATGCCTGTGGTTGCCATGAATTGGGGGTCAAATTGATAGCAGTAAGTTCACTGGGTTTGAGTAACGGATGATAAAGGCACTGTGGGTATTTCTGTCTGGAAGAAACATGTTTCCTTCAAGGCTCACATCTGCAGGACTCCCCCAGCCAGCACAGCAAAGGGTAAGGTAAAGTCCCGCCTTTGCCTGCCCTCACAACCCTTCAACGTCTCAGAGCCGCACAGATCATCTGCAGTACAGACTCTAGTCTACACACTGTCCTCTCTCTGCCCGATGATTTCCTGTAGAGTAGCTCAATACTTCAGATGGCAGGCACTTGAGTGAGCTCTATGTGAAGAAATTTGGAAGTGAACTAATAATATCACATCTTGGCCAAGACCAATCTCCCCTGAAACTGAAGAGGGAGCCATGGGCCAGGGCCAGGGCCAGGGCCAGGAAGGGATGAGGGGATGGGAGGTGGAAGTGGGGGGACGGGGTGGTCACAGTGTTTGCAGTTTATTGGGTCTGAAGACAGGACTCTAGAAACAGCCTGTAGGGCGGAGGCCAGGTGCAAGCAAACCAACCAGGTGTGCCTGGCTCTCACGGGGCATTCAGGTGGTTTGACACCCTTGAAAACAAGAAATGCAGAATCAATTGGCTTGTTTCCCCTTTTAATTTAATCTAGGTACTCCCCAACTTTGGATGAAAAAAATGTATATAATTTTAGAAAGTATAGGGAGGAGAAATCCCTCCATCACTCTAATACACTTCATGCTTTGTAGTAAAATAAAGGGTGAAAAAACAAAACAACCCAGCTCCCTGCCATCTCATTGATTCTGATTCATAGTGACCCTATAGGACAGGGTAGAACTGTCCCTGTGAGTTTTGGAGACTGTAACTCTTTACTGGTATAGAAAGCCTCACTTTTCTCCAAAGAAGTAGCTGGTAGTTTTGAACTACTGACCTCATGGTTAGCAGACCAACAACCACTATACCACCTGGGCTCCTGTGACCCTATAGGACAGAGTAAAACTGCTCTTCAAGGGTTTCTGACGCTGTGAATCTTTATAGGAATGGACAGCCTCATCTTTTTCTTGTGAAGCAGCTGGTGAGTCTGAACTGCTGGCTTTCTAGTTTGCAACCAAATGCTTAACTCACTGTGCCATGAGGGCATCTAGAATTGTCTCCAGGGAGCAAAATCATCACATTTCCCCTACTTTTCTGTATTTCGTGGATTTTCACTGTAGAACTGGTGTCATTTTTATAGAAGGTGACACATGGGAAAAACTAGCCCTAGACTCAATGTTAACCCAGCCAATGAAACATAAAAACTTGAAATGATGAAACTTTTTCCAAGTAATTTTTTTTAAACATTTTATTAGGGACTCATACAACTGTTATCCCAATCCATACATACATCAATTGTGTAAAGCGCATTTGTACATCGTTTCTCAAAACATTTTCTCTCCATTTAAACCCCCGACATTAGGTCCTCATTTTTCCCCTCCCTTCCCGCTCCCCCCTCCTGCATGTGCCATTGATAGTTTATAAATGGGTATTTTGTCATATCTTGCCCTGTCTGACATCTCCCTTCATCCACTTTTCGGTTGTCTGTCCCCCAGGGAGGAGGTCACACACAGTTCCATGTAATCGGTTCCCTCCAAGTAATTTTATACAGGACAAACTTAAGAATGTTTTTAGGAATTCAAACATGCCCAATACCCAACAAGATAAAAATTATAATATCTAGCACGATTAATTCAGCATCCAATAAAAGTAACCAGGTACACACAGAGGCAGAACAGCATGACCATAGTGAGAAGAAAAATCAACTAATTGAAACTAACCTAGAAATTACATAGAAGATAAAACTAGTAGAAGAGGCATTAACATCATTATCAAAATTGTATTCCATATGTTCAAAAATTAGACGTACTATTGAACATGTTAAGCTGCAATATGGAAGACACTTTAGAAGGTCCAGATCAAACTTTTAAAGAAGAAAATGCTAAGATTTGAGATGAAAAGCATGCTGTATGGATTTTCAGTACATTAGACATTAAAGGGGGGGTGGGATTGATCAGTGAGCCTGATGACGAAAGCTGTGGAAACTACCCATCATGAAAATGGAAAGGAAAAGTGGGGGGAGCCCTAGTGGTACTGTCTGGTAGGTAGGTGGTTCAAACCTACCTACCAGTCACTCTGCAGGAGAAAGGTGAGTCTTCTGTTCCTGTAAGTTTGCAGCTTGGGACCACAATGTACTCAACTTGAAGGTGCCACCTATTTCTCCCCAGGATCTTAGCTGGCCGTGATAGTGGCTTCAGCAAGGGTAGTGACTGTTGGAGAGACAAGGATGGATTTACGAGATAAGAGGACGTTCAGCAGGATTTTGTGACCTCTGTTTTTCATTTGCTTCATATTGTCAGTTGATTTGTGATAAGACGTGGATCTCTGGTTTTGCATCTGTCTGAACCCTCCGAGAAGATGGCAGAATTAGAAGTTGAAGAGACGTATTAAGGGGAACCCCTCTGAAAGATAGAGCCCTGGTGCCATTGTGGGTTATTTGCTGTATTGCTCACCACAAGGGCAGCTGTCCAATACCACTAGCTGCTCTGCAGAAGAAAGATGAGGCTTTTGATAGCCCTAAAGATTACATTCTCAGAAACGCATGGGAGCAGTTCTACTCTGTCCTATAGGGTTGCTATAAGTTGGAATCAATGCAATGGCAGTGAGTTTTCCTGTTAAAGATTAACGAGCGTGTAAGGTTTTGTGCCAAAAGTTTCTTTGTGGTTGTGCCTGCTTGTAATATGAGCAGACACTGTAGAAAAGCTTGCTTGCTTTTTGCTGTGTCTAGACCAGGGGTCTTCAAACTTTTTAAACAGGGGGCCAGTTCACTGTCCCTCAGACCCATTGGAGGGCCGGGCTATAGTTAAAAAAAAAAAACTATGAACAAATTCCTATGCACACTGCACATATCTTATTTTGAAGTAAAAAACAGAATGGAACAAAACTACCTGGCAGGCCAGACAAATATCGTTGGCGGGCCGCATGTGGCCCGCGGGCTGTAGTTTGAAGACCCCTGGTCTAGATCCTGCATCCTGCTTATCATCTGACCTTCAGTTTTTTTGGACTTGAGCCAGCAGCTTTCACATTGCCTGCCATTCCTGGGAGACAGCAGCAGCCTGCTATCTTACCTGCCAAGCTTAAATTCATTTGTCTCTGCAGCCTGTTGTCTGGTCTGGTCATCTTGGGTTCATCAGTTCCTATAGCTACATGAGTCAGGAGAAGCCTCCAGTTTGACATCTGACCTACTTAGAACTTCCCTACCTTTACAAACGTGTGAGCCATTTTCTTGATATAAACCCTTGTATATATACATATATAAGTCTCACTGATTTTTCTTCTCTAGAGAACCCATCCTAAGACAAGGAGAAAGGCAGAGGGAACCTTCAGATTTGGTGCAGGTCTGACAGCAGAAGCAGGAGGAAAGCAAGAAAGGAGTCTTTTAGGGAGAGCCTCGGACTATGGATACTCTGAGAAAGGTTCACTAGGGCAGTGGAGAGGCCCAGCACTCTTTCTGAGTGAAATCCTACATTGGGCGGAAATAGCCTGGCTCTAGTACCTCTGCCATGCTCAGTCATTGTCTAGGAGGAGTGTGGCCTGGGCTTCAACTTTGTCATGAATTCCAAATACAGACACTCATAGTAGATTATTGAGGAGAAATCTAAGTAGCACCCCATGAAGGCTGTCACAGTTCACCAACTATACTTAGGTCCTTGAAGTCTAAAGTAGTGTCAGGCATACTGGGAATCAGTAAGCACTGGAATGAAGGCAGCTTCTACACCTATGGAAATGCAGGCAAGGGATGTCTAGTTTGTGGGGGTGGTGCCCAAATGAGTGTTCATTATAAAAATCCTAGGAGCCTTGGTGATGTGGTGGGTTATGCATTGGGCAGCTAACCAAAAGGTCAGCAGTTCAAACTTACCAGCCTCCCTGTGGGAAAGAGATGAGACTTTCTGCTCCCGCCCTGGAAACTCACAGGGGCAGTTCTACTCTGTCCTGTGGGGTCACAGTGACTCAGAATCTGCTCCGTGGCAGTGAGTTTGGTGCTTTTTAAAAATGAAAAATGAAAACAAAACAACCCTGTCATGGTTGAATTGAAGTGACTTGGATATCCACTAAGCCCAGTATCAGCATCAGCTTTCATAAAGATTATCCTTTTGGATCAAGGGTCATTCTCTAGAGCAGGGGCGGGGGAACTTTATTCTGCGGAGGGCCATTTGGATATTTTTAACATCATTTGTGGTCCATACTAAACTATCAACCTAAAATTTAGCCTGCTGTATTTGACCAAACATTTAATTAACTCACTCCTAATGTGATTGCTGGAACTTCTCTTTGGTGAGGCGTGTAATGTAAGCTGGTATTGATGACCTATGGCCAGGTACATTTTCCTTGGTGGCAATGGGGCTGAGGTAAACCTAACCCCTCAAACTCTCAGGTTCCTAATTATTATGTTATTATGTTTAAGTATGGGGTCACCATGAGTCAGAATTGACCATGACAGTGAATTGAATGAACAATTAAGTACCTGCTATAAGAAGTCCTAGAGGAGCCCTGGTGACATAGCGGTTACACATTGGGCTGTGATCTGCTGGTTCAAAACCATCAGTGGCTCCTCAGCAGAAAGACGGGCTTTCTACCCCCGTAACCAATTAGAGTCATGGAACCTCACAGGGAAAGTTCTACCCCGTCCTATAGGGTCACTGTGAGTCAGAATGGACTCGATGGCAGTGAATTTTGGCGTTAGTGAAGCAGTGAGATAAGCATTGGGCTGCTAACCATAGGTTGGACATTCGAACCCATCAGCCACTCTACAGGAGAAAGATGAGGCTGTCTGCTCCTGTAAAGAGTTACAGTCCACCATCCTTTTCTTGGGGTTGCACTACTATCCAATGAATGCACAGCGAGGGCAGTACTGCTAACACCTACGCAACACACTCGCATTAGTTAAAGCTCTGCTTTATTTTTGATGCAATTTTTTGGAAAAAAGAAAAAACAAAGAGTTACAGTATTGGAAACACTGGGGAACAGTTCTACTCTGTTCTATAGGGCCACTAGAAGTTGGAGTTGACTCAGTTGAAGTTAGTCTTGGCATTGGGCCTCTCTTCAAGAACTCCCTGAACTCAAAAACATTTTGTTCTAATAACCTGGCATTCCGTGATGCTCAGCTTCCAGACATGTTCGCTGATGACAAAATGGGTGCATAGCAAATGTGGTAAAGAAAGCTGATGGTGCCCGGCTATCAAAAGATACAGCATCTGGGGTCTTAAAGGCTTGAAGATAAACAAGTGGCCATCTAGTTGAGAAGCAACAAAGTCCACATGGAAGAAGCACACCATGAGGTGTTGATAGGATCAGGCATCAAAGACCCAGAACAAAAAATCATATCATTGTGAATTAGGGGGAGGAGGGAGTGGAGACCCAAAGCCCATCTGTAGATATCCCCTCACAGAAGGGTCACAAGGAAGAGACAAGCCAGTCAGGGTGCAGTAGAGCACTGATGAAATATACAACTTTCCTCTAGTTCTTTAATGCTTCCTCCACCCCACCCACTCACCCCATGACCCCAATTCTACCTTACAAATCCGGCCAGACCAGAGCATGTACACTGGTACAGATAAGAGCTAGAAACACTGGGAATTCAGGACAGATAAACCCCTCAGGACCAATAATGAGTAGCAATACCAGGAGGAGAAGTGGAAGGCGAGGGGAAAAGAGGAAACCGATCACAATGATCTACATATAACCCCCTCCCTGGGGGACAGACAACAGAAAAGTGGGTGAAGGGAGACATCGGTCAGTGTAAGATATGAAAAAATAATAATAATTTATAAATTATCAAGTGTTCATGAGGGAGGGAGGGTGGGGGAAGGAGAGGAAAAAATGAGGAGCTGATACCAAGGGCTCAAGTAGAAAGCAAATGTTTTGAAAATGATGATGGCAACAAATGTGCTTGACACAATGGATGGATGGATGGATTGTGATAAGAGCTATATGAGCCCCCAATAAAATGATTTTAAAAAAAGAATGCAATATGGGGAAAATAAATGAGTCTTGGTTTGGTATATGTCAGACAGTAATCTGTGGGATATAAAAAGGCGTTTCCCCAGCTTGCCTCCCCCAAATATAAGTCAGACCTAGGACACTGCTTGCAGCTAATGGTAAATGATTTTCAAGTTATCTCCCTGAAGGCATCAGCCATCCAGAGCAATCAGATTACTGTCTGGTCTCACTCCCTGTTGTTAAAGACAGTAGATTGCTTTCCCTGGAGGGCTCAGAATAAACCAAGTCACCAGCTCAAGGATGGTTAGGCTGCCATGATGAATCTAGGATCCGCCCATCTTGTCACATGTGTACCCTTAATCCGTCCTCTTCCTATAGCATGTACACCCCTAGATCATCGCCCTCCCATTGCTGTATTGCCTGTGGTACAACCCCTTCCTGTGACATAGGTCGTTACCTGTAATCAGGGGACTTGCATGCCCCTAGAGATATATAAGCCTTGATTAGAAATAAATCTCTCTCCTTGGTGTTCCCCTCCTTCCCTCTCCCTCCTTCCCTCCTTCCCCACCCCTTCTCCCTGGCTCTCCTCCCCTCTCTTCCTCTTGCACCTCCACATGGACCATCAAGAGGGGCTGGTTCCCCTGCCACTAATCTTATATAGTTAACTTCATTTTACTGCTGAGGAAACAGGCTCCAGTGACTTCCTGAGAAGATCAGGAATGTCACTGAGATCTGTTTGATGACAACACCCCACCCACCCCTACACCCCTACTGTCTCCCGATGGATTCAGTGGCAGGACATCAGAACCCAAGACGGTGAACCTCTCAGTGGATACTCAATGTGACTGTCTTCATTTTTTAATTGAACCATTTCTCTCTTCGGCTTCTTCCTTCCCTACCTTGCTTCTCCTCCTTACTCGCCATTCCTCTTTTCTGTGGGCTCTGCTTCATCAGCTCACCTCCTTACAACGTCCTTCATTTCATTGCCCCTCGTCCTGCCAATTTAACTCCCTCATCACCCCCTGATTTATCTTGTCTTCTCTCCACCTGCTCATTGTCTTCAGACAGCTCATTGAAGAAGTTGTTGATCTCAATTATTTATTCCAATGAATCAATAATTATGCTTCACAGGAAACCCTGCTGGGGAGGGGGTGGTTTTAAAACAAAGTTAATGTATTTCATACAAATCAAAAATAACTCCCAAGCAATTTAATAGCCACAATGAGCAAGTCCCTGCTCAGCCATCCAGGGGGACGCACTCTGCCTTGCCCGCCTCCCCAGGATCAGTACTCAGAGATACCAAAGGTCCCTTCCAAAATGAGCAAGGCTGTGAGAATCCAATTTTTCGGTTTCCTAGGTCACCAGTGGGCTCAAACCTAAGAACAATTGTGAGGATGGTGCAGGATTGGGTAGTGCGGCTATGAGTCAGAGCCAATTGGACGGCACCCAGCAACAGTAGATCATCGATGGGATGAGAGCATAGCTGACGAATCACATGGTCTTTCATTTACTACTTGCCAACGTCATTGCGGCTCATCACACAGGCCGTCCATGTTTGTTTATGTTGCACGGCAGCAGCAGCAGTCAGAGGCACCCACCGACCTATTTTTCTCCATCTGTGTTCTCCCTACCAGCCTCAGGAAGTCCTTCTTCCCCCTGTTCTCCGTGTACAGATTAGAGGATGCATACCTCAGGGCTTCCCCTCCATTCCCTTCCTGGGCCCTGTGAAACAGTATCGATTGCAGGACAGCCGTATCAGCAGAGTGAGTGCGTGAGCTGGCTCTCCTGGAGATTTCAACACCTTCCGCCCTGGTCATCTACTGTGCCAAGGATTCTCTTCTGTTTCCACCTGGAGCGGGCTTTCCTGGACCAGCTTTCAGGCAGGTCTTCCCTGTCTGGGTCCTATACTAGTCAAATGCCATCCCCCACAAAATCCTACTTGTCCTGTCAATGACAGTCGTAGCTCAGGTGTAGACTGTCCACAAAAGCATCACCTAGAGGGCTGGATAAAATAAAGTTCTGCTCCAGTAGTTCTAAGGCCCAAGCACGTGGATTTCTCCCGTGTTTCCTGGTGCTCTGCCCGCTCTACTGGATCCTTTCTCCTCGCTCTTCATAGGGCCACGTTTCAGTCTCAGAAACCGACAGGGCAGTTGTACCCTGCCCTGTAGGGTCACTATTATGGCATCATAAACTCGATGGCAGCTAGTTTATTCATAGTGTGGACCAAAGACAAGACAGCTAAATGGGCATTACCTGGAAGCATGTTAGATGTGCAGAATCTCAGGCCTCAGCCCCGATTACTGATTCAGAATCTGCTATAGTCCAGGTGATAGGTATTGGCTTAGACGGGTGCTCTCAGGGATCTAAGCAAGCTTGGAGTTAGGAGCAGGCGGTGCTGGGCCAGTGTCTCTATCCTTCCAGTGACATGACAGAATGCCAGTCTGCAGGGTAGCATCCTCATCATTCGACTCAGCTTCCACCCTCCCTTCTCACAGGCACTCACAAGTCCCACCGTCACCGGTGAGTGATAACCTAAGCACCCATCTCTGCCAAGGCCCAGCAAGGCTCAGGTGCTTTCTCCATAAATTTCCTCATGGGAGCAGACTCTGCCCCTCTGGCTTTAGGCCCCGTGTTGGCACTTCTCTTCTCCTGTGGTATTCACCTGCCAAGGCTGCCCCATTGCCACAGTTGTTCCTCCTTGAAGAAAATGGCCCAGATGCTCCCTTAGCTTCTAGGATCTTCCTCCAGAACTCAGAGACCAATAAGATTTTTAAAAATCATTTTATTGGGGGCTCGTACATCTATCACAATCCATACATCCATCCATTGTGTCAAGCACATTTGTACATATGTTGCCATCATCATTTTCAAAACATTTGCTTTCTACTTGAGCCCTTGATGTCAGCTCCTCATTACCCCCCACTCCTTCCCCCACCCTTCCTCCCTCATGAACCCTTGATAATTTATAAATTATTATTTTTTCATGTCTTACACTGACCGATATCTCCCTTCACCCACTTTTCTGTTGTCTGTCCCCCAGGGAGGGGGTTATCCTTGTGATCAGTTCTCCCTTTGTCCCCCCACCTTCCCCTTCCCCTCCTGGTATTGCTACTCATTATTGGTCCTGAGGGGTTTATCTGTTCTGAATTCCCTGTGTTTCCAGCTCTTATCTGTACATGCTCTGGTCTGGCCGGATTTGTAAGGTAAAATTGGGGTCATGATAGCGGGGTGGGTGGGTGGGGTGGAGGAAGCATTAAAGAACTAGAGGAAAGTTGTATATTTCATCGGTGCTCTACTGCACCCTGACTGGCTTGTCTCTTCCTTGTGACCCTTCTGTGAGGGGATGTCCAATTGTCTACAGGTGGGCTTTGTTCTCCACTCTGCACTCCCCCTCATTCACATCGATATAATTTATTGTTCTGGGTCTTTGATATAAAGCACATTTGTACATTCGTTGCCCTCATCCTCAAAACATTTGCTCTCCATGTAAGCCCCTTCACTATCTCCTTCTTAACAACTCTCTTGCTCCTGGGTCTAGGAGGTTCTCACCACAGAGATCCTGGGTCCAAAGGATGTCTCTGCTATTTCTGTCTCTTCTTGGTGGTAGTGGTTAACCCTTCATGCTGGGAGTGGCTCTCTTTAAACCTTCCTGTTACCACTGAGATAATTCCAATGTATAGAGATCTTAGAGGGCAGAGTAGAACCACCCCATAGAGTTTCCAACGTTGTTATCTCATAGGGCAGACTACTGTGTCATTCACCTATGGAGTGGTTGGTGATTTTGAACTGCTGACCTTTCAGTTAACAGTGAATTACTTTAACCACTACGCAACCAGGGCTTCTTTTTTGAAGCCTAGCATTAGGCAAACCTAACCAGCCTCCTTGTTAAGGTTCTGTAAACTTTATTTGCATGGTTCTACCCACACAAAGTGTCTTGCACCTTATTTGCATTATTGGCAAGCTGCTCAGTTCTTTTAGCCACAA